AACAAGCCACAGAGGCGGGGGCTCATGATGACCAGGTAGTGTAGGGGCTGACAAATGGCCACCAACCTGTCATAGGCCAACACAGCCAGGAGTAGACTGTCCAAACATCCAAAAAGAGAAAAAAAGGTAACCTGAGTTAGGCAGCCTGCATAGGTGATGGATTTGCTGTGTGTCTGGAGGTTCACCAGCATCTTGGGAACTGTAGTGGTGCTGAAACTGATGTCAGTCAAGGACAAATTGGAAAGGAAGAAGTACATAGGTGTGTGGAGGTGGGAGTCAGAGATGACAGCCAGGATCATGAGTAAGTTTCCAAGCATGATCACCAAGTACATGGACAGGAAGAGCCCAAACAGAAGAGGCTGCAGTTCTGGATCATCTGAGAGTCCCAGGAGGAAGAATTCTGAATCACCTGTTTGATTCTGTGGTTCTATGAAGATAGGACACATTTTTGGAAAAAGGTAGAGAGAGTGAGGGAGGGAGGGTGGGAGAGAGAGAGAGAGAGAGAGAGAGAGAGAGAGAGTTAGTTAAATAAATGAAACAAGTCTACAGGCATCCATATATTGGATTCAAGCAATTCACACATTAATTATTTATACTTAAGGATCATATAAAATTGCCCCATTACCTTCAGCAACATGTCTCAGTCGTTAATTCTTTTTAGAACTCTTTCCTTATTGATGCCTGACCTATTCACCTGTTTCTATATACACCCACTTTAGAGTCACTGGGTCAAAGAATATTAGAGAATAAATGACATTTTGAAATAACAAATATATGAACAGAATAAACTATCACCCTTCTACTTTTGAAGGAAAATATGGGATGAGAAATATTCTTTTCTAAGAAACAAATCATTCCATTTGAAAGACACTAAGAAGCAATTGAAAGTACTTTATCTCACCCCAATGCAGTATAAGAAATTCTTTAATTTGGAATGTAATTGAGAAGAATTAAAAGCACATTAACTGTATTCTAACTTAAAATAAATTGTTTGTAATCAGACTAGTGGCCTGGTGCATGAAATTTTTGCACTGGGGGGGTGTCCCTCAGCCTGGCCTGAACCCTGTCCAATCTGAGACCCCACAGGGGATGTCCAACTGCCAGTTTAGGCCAGATACCTATGGCCCAATTTGGGATCGCTGGCTCCTAACTGCTCACCTGCCTGCCTGCCCGATTGCCTCTAACCACTCTGCCTGCAGACCTGTTCACCTCCACTGCTCCCCCCCAGCCGGCCTTCTCGCCCCCCGACTGTCCCCCCTTGCTGGCCTGCTCGACCCCAACTTCCCCAACAAGCCACAAAGCAAACTCCCTCCCCACCAGCCTGCTTGCCCCAACTGCCCTCCCCTCCTGGCCTGACCGCCCCTAACCACCTTTGCCTCGGCCCCGCCACCATGGCTTTGTCCGAAAGGTCTCCCAGTCTAATTAGCATGTTACTCTTTTATGAGTATAGATAGAATTTTACATGGCAATTATCTTTAAGGGTTTACATCTTTATTTGGTTTTATGACATCAATCTTCCATGGAGATAAGTGCTCACACCAATGTGTGGGTTGTCTGGTCAAAGCCTCTCAAATATAATTCAAATTATAAATAGTTGGCCTTGGTAGACTTCATATTTTGAAAAGTATGGTTTTGTTAAGTGCACAAAATCATAAAGCACCACTGATCCTGAAGATGGTATTAATTTACAATCACCAATGATTAAGTAATAATTAACTTAGAAAGATTATCGAGGAAACCAAGATGGTGGCATAGGTAAACACCGGAGTTTGCTGCCTCGAACAACCACTTCAAAAATACAACTAAAAGACAGAACGGACATCATCCAGAACCACAGGAAGGCTGGCTGAGTGGAAATTCTACAACTAGAAGGAATGAGAAAAGCATTCCGAGACTCAGAGGAAGCGCAGTACCGAAGTAAAATACTAAGGTGCGAAGGTGCATGTGGAGCCGGCTGGCGGCTGAGGGCGCGGTTGTCGTTTTCAATCGGGAGGGAGTCTTAGGCTCTGAGCTCCAGTTCCGGGCAAGTCTCTAGGGACCCAGACTCATACGGA